GCATTAAACCCAACTCACTCACTCGACAGGATAGGTCTAACTGCGACCTCTGTAGATGGACATCTTACAGTAGACTGGGTTACACTGGTAGTCAGAACCATACGTGTGTCCGACGTATGCTTGGCCTGGGAGTTAGTAGCAATGAAAATAACTGTAAAGATAGTCGAAACAGAGGAACTGGCAGGGATCTCCTCATCCAAAAGTTGTCAGAGACAGCATCCTCTTAAATTGAGAGCACAGTTATCACAGCAGGGGTTGGTTGGTTGACCTTAGTGATATGTTTAGGCTTCTTGGGGGCTGAAGGTCCGTGCTCCGAATCTCCAAATTCTGATCTGCAGTCCATGTTCCTTTTCTGACATTTCTTTAGATAGTCGTTAAATATTCCTCTGATGATAGGTGTGAGCATTCCTTACATCTGAACTTGGGTTTACAGACACCCCGGCAATCACAACATAAAGTCTGTGGATCCACTGCTGAAAAGATGTGGCGGCACTTCTGACAGGCTGGAGGTTTTGGTTGATCCTTGCCCATCTTTGGTGCATAAAAGTCCTAACTCCAGGTAAATTTAAAAACAACTGCCTAAATATTATCTCAAATTTTATTTACGTCTCCACTGTGAGCAGCAGAGAAAGAGAATGATGAGGCAAGGTGGGCCAAGTGATCAGCACATGTATACTCTGGAAGTTACGAGGAGTGTTCATTAAAGATTTCCCCTGACCCACCTCCGATAAACCTAGTGGAATGAAACTTGGCATAGGTATTAGTCTTTCTCCACATAGGAACCATCAAGAGTTACACACTTCTCCCATCGTTTTATGCAACTATGGAGACCTCGCTTGTAAAAGCCCTCATTTTGCGTCTCAAACCAGGACTTGACTTCAGAAATCAGTGTTTCATCATCTGTGAAACGTTTTACCTTTAAAAATGACTACATGGTTGGAAAGAGGTGGAAGTCAGATGGTGCAAGGTGAGGAGAGTAAGGAGGATTTGGAAGGATTTCATAGCCACAGGACCGCGCTTCTGTCTGGGCAACATATGTTTGAGAGTTGTGTACTTGGTCAGCATGCCACGCCTCTTAAGCTTGATAGCGTCCCACAATTTCTGCAGCAGTGAAGCATAATGAGCTCCTGTAAATGTGGTACCCTTTGCCAAGAAATTCATCATCACTACTCCATGCTGGTCCCAAAACACAGTGAGCATGACCTTGCCTGCAGAGGGTTGGACACGTGCCTTCTTTTGGGGTGGTGACTCCACATGCTTCCATTGCATCGACTGAACTTTAGTCTCAGGATCATAGTGATGGACCCATGTTTCATCCTGTGTGATAAGTCTGTCAAAAACGTTTGCCTGGTTTTTTTTGGCACATGTCCAAAAGATCCTTTGAGCAATTGACTCGTTCCTGCTTTTGGAAAGGTGTGAGCAACCTGGGAATCCATCGTGCAGACACCTTATGCATGTTCAAATTGTCATGAATGATTTTTTACACAGACCCTACACTGATCTTGACATCTTGTGCTAACTGGTGAACAGTTATACGTCGGTCTGCCAAAATGGCGGTCTCCACTTGATGGATAGTGTCCTCATCAATGGCTGAATGGGGGCGACCAGGAATGGCAGCTGTTTCCACAGATGTCCGACCACACTTGAATTGGCGATGCCAGTGTTTAACAACAGCATATGATGGGGCATCTTCCCCATAAGTTGCTTTCATTTAATCGAAAGTTTCTTTTGGTGTGCGACCTTTCAAATATAAAAACCTAATCACTGCTCAATATTCTACTGGCTCCATTGTCACACCCTACTCGATCTTAACACCTGTAAAAGTGGTAAGATTAATAGTTTGGTGATGACATAACCCATAGATACATGTATCATTACACATGTGAAATTTCAACCAAATATGATAACCCTAAGTGGTTTAGGGGAAATCTTTAATGAACACCCCTCATAATTTAAGGTACCGACGTTTACTACAATATCTGAAAAACTATTGGACCTACTTCAGTCAAAGTTGGTATGAGATTATTAAACAGCCATACATAACTGGATATTACATTTAAAGACAATCGGTGCATGAAAAAAAAATCTGTCTATTTAGCTATCACTATATTTCATCAACAACCAGACCTGTTCGTCACGGGTGGAACGAGCATCTGCATAATGCTACCCCTGCGTCACAGGGCCATGTGACACAATTGAACCAATCAACTCAACTCGAAAGGTTGCACAGGAATCACACATGCACTAATATGGTGTTAGCGTTGGGCGTCTCATGCAGTTATTTCATAATATTAATCCAATTATTTTTGCATTCTTTTTTCAGGTCAGTGTTATTGACTTGAATGTATTATTCCTTGACACATTATTATATTTCATGCATCATGTTATTAGGTGTAATATATCATACGTAATTATTCATTTAGACAAATCATTGCTTTATGGTTTCGAGGAAAATATTTTAATATTTTCGTAGATGATTCGAGACTTTCGGGGCTGTTTCAAGTGAAAGAGAATCAAATTCTGAGCCAAGAATTGCACAAAGTGAACAAGATCCGATTATGACATGTACTACAAAGCACGGACCTGAAATTCGTAGATGATTCCAAGAAATTCTTTGATAAACAAATTTTTCCTCACGAATCCCACAAACTACAAGAATGTTTGGGAATCAAATAAGATATATTAAAGATTCTTAAGAAATGATTGAGAATATGTACTAATATGTAAGAATGCATATCCATGGTAATTCGGGCTATTACATGTCGTAGTGAAACAGGGGTATATGTACTGCACTATTCGTGGTCTCACGAAATGCCCTCGTTGTCAGATTCGGAGTCTGTGCTGGACAGTATCTGGTCGGATACAGTCTTGTTTCCAATACTCTTCCTCAACTTTGATAACATGTTGGACACAGTTTGCCCAACGTACATCTGTCATTTCTCCCATCCCTTTCAAGACAATCTGCTTGCCGTCGGCAAGCTTGAAGGTCTTATTTTGCCATGCGACCATATTTTTCAAATCACCCCAGATTAGTTTGATGGGATTCAAGTCACAATGGTAAGGAGGAAGTCTAAGCACTTCGTGACCGTGTTCTCGCAACATGTTGTCAATCAAATAAGAGGGCAGGTGTTTGTTCTGAAGAACCAGTTGGTAGTAGTCAGTTCTTTGGGCTTTCGTAGGCCGAGCAATGCGGTTGTTCTCCAACCACTGACATATCTCACCTTTGGTGGAATTTGAGGTTGGACAACGGTTAATAGGATCTCGACAACTGTGATAGGGAGCATTGTCCATAACCACCAAGGATTTATCAGGCAGTGCTAAGAGGAGCTGCTCCTCAACATACGCAGTGAAAACCTGACTACATGTATTCATCTCAGTATGGTAGTCTCTGCCATCTGTAGATCTGGATCTGAACACTAGATCACACCCAGGGAGGAAACCTCTGTGGGAGCCTGCATGGAGGACAATCAGGCACTCCCCTTTACCAGGGGGGATCTTGCGCTATTCTAACAATGAAACCTTTCGCATCAGCGGAAAGATGCTTGCGCTGAGACATCATGAAATCTGATGCTAAAACCGTATTCGTGTATGGGTGATTCCCGTGCAACATTTCGAGTTGAGTTGATTGGTTCAACTGTGTCATATGGCCCTGTGACGCAGGGGTAGCATTATGCAGATGACTGTTACAATGAATGCTCGTTCCACCCGTGACGAACAGGTCTGGTTGTTGACGAAATATAGTGATAGCTAAATAGACAGATTTTTTTTCATGCACCGATTGTCTTTAAATGTAATATCCAGTTATGTATGACTGTTTCATAATCTCATACCAACTTTGACTGGAGTAGGTCCAATAGTTTTTCAGATATTGTAGTAAACGTCGGTACCTTAAATTAACTTCCAGACTATACAGTAAGCTGTGCGAGAATCGGGTGCATGACCTAATTGGCATGGTGATGCTCAGGCTGTTTGGGCGAATGAAGCTTAGAAGTTGAAAACTTTGTTCAAGGAGGTTTACACACAAGGATCGAAAGAAGAAGGATGAAATGCATATAGTGAGATAGGATAAGTTTTAACAATTTAACTTGTGGAAAGAGCACAAACCAATGTATGAGAAGAGTATACCACCCCTAAACTTGTTATCATAAGCGTACACCTTATACATGAAGGTAGTATCTTTCAACAAAACTTATTTTAAAGCTACATCTCATTTAAGAAAATTTTCTCAAGATTTGTAGTTAAGTGATCAATGTTTACCATTCTGTTTATATTTAATCATAACACATAATTGCAACTTACTTCAGGGAATAGTTAATACACTGTCATTTTAAAAGAGACAGTCATCTTCCATTACAACAAATAATTTCGTTTTTAGCTCAAGATGGAACTCAAGTTTTTTCGTGTGCCTCACTTAATATCTTTTACAGCATTGAAAAGGTTTTGACATAAATGCTTAGAACTCAAGAAATATAGGAAAATGCTACACTGAAACAATGATTACAAATCTACCTCTCACAGAGAAAAGTGTCCACTTCCCCTGTGGAAAGATTGCCTGCTGTACATGATCACAGGGGTTGAGATGATGCCACTGCTTCCGATGGATGACTGACAACCACACCATGATATAAGTTCACTTGACTTTCAGTCAGGTGAGCTTGATATTAAACATCAAGTGACATTACGAATCTGTGAAAGATATATGTTAAGCACAAGGAACTAGTGTCTTAGAGTGAGGTTGTGCTCAGTTGGTTGGATAGTCAATAAGGAGGCCCTGGCTATGTGATGCCTTTTATTTTCTCTCTCAAGGCTTGAGTGTTCTTGCATGCTTCTCTACCTTTCATATATATTATGGGATTCAATAGAACTACAGCCTGTAAGCCCACATTATTTATTCATTTGCCTTGCTCGAAGCATTGAAATGAAGAAGGGAATCAATTTAACCCTTACCCTATCTCTCTTTAAAAGAACAATCCACATACTTTAAACTGTATAAAATGTACCTTGAGCAGTGGTCTGAAGCTTTTCTGTCTTGGCGGTGCTGTTTGAAGGTCTTTGCCACTTCCTGGATACATTCTACTGTGTCCTGTGTAAATAAGGAGCAATATGTTTACATAAGTTCTTAACGAGGGAATGTCCACAGAGCTATTGTATCTCTGGAGGTTTCTCAACACCACGCATAAGGGTGAGCAGCAATCAATCTCTCAAGTGTGTTCAAGCAAGAGAAAGTTGAGGGTTGATGCCAATTAGTTGCTTTGAGGATGGTGTCAAAACATAAATGCACAGAATTTGAATACACAGACAGTGAAGAAGAAATAGCTTATTCATGAGCACTGAATGAAGCACCAGAGATTCTGTCTGTCACATCATGGGCTGTTCAGTGTGGTACAAATGTGCAAACTAGATATGATACAATGACAAGGGAGTTCATTAAACAAACCTAACTAATTGTTGATGTCATAAGTGGGCAATATAAAAAAATAGTTATCATTGATAATACTTCCAAAAACACATTGACAAAATCCTATATTTTGATTACAATAACACTATAACTAAATCTTCAGATTTTCAACAGAAGTCCTCTTCACTGCAAACTATACATAAATAGTTGAACCCGAGTGATAGGAGGGTTCTGACTCTAGAAAATTCCCTGTGCAGCTGACACCTGCTTAATCACTTGTGATTCCATCAACTAATAGTTGTTTCAAATGCTAATAGAAAATAACTTAAATCACCTCAAGAGGACTTGAGACCAAGTAAATGTAATGAATAACTAGAATTACCATTACATTTAATGATATTCATATTCATGATGTCATTAGACAATCTAAAACCTTCTATCAGATTGTCATTTCTGGTCAGCATGTCACTTCAAGGATTAGTGTCATCATTACCTATCTTGAAGACATCATATCCGGTTCTTACTGATGTCACTTCCTTTTCTTACTGGTATTAAATAAATCTCTAAGAAGTCATTTCCAGTCTCATATGACAACATGATATGACCTTACTTCGGGTTATGATGTCACTTCCGGTAACTTCATCACCTCCAATTATGACATCACTTCAGGTCACTACGTTATCAGTGCTTGTGGCCTTATTCAGTTATTGATCCGAGGCTTATCCCACACTCAGTAGCTAATAAGGAACAAAAGGTCTACTTACCTTCTGAAGCTGGGTTGTACATCACAAACATAAAACATAGTAAATGTGTTGTGAGTTTCCCATTGGCAGCTAGGCACTACATGTTCCACTGACACAGATGTCTATGGGGCAAGGATCGTAGCTAATGCTCTAATCTCATGAGCTAAACAGCAACCAAAGATGGGAATAGAATCTTAGGCTTGAAAATAACTTGCGGCAATAGCAGACTTAGGCGAGCCGGCAACTTTGGCTCTAGTGATATCTTTGACGGAAAGATCGAGTCATGTTTTAAATCAAGGTGCTCACGTGATTTGATTTGACATTGTGCACTTCACGATGTAAGACCCATTTTACCACAATGTAGATCTTGATTATTGATCAGATTGTCCTGACTGGGTGCTGCCATATTGTGTAAAGCAAATGCAAGTGATACGAGGGGTGGAATCTGATTGGTCGATAGGAGAGGCTTAGAAGGGACATAACTGGTAATAGCCACTGGTTGCGCTACGATTGAGCCCAGTTATTCCAGCCCAGTTTTGGCAAGGGTTGAAACTGGACTTTTATAGTCAGTTAACTCCCTTGCGTCAGGAAGATGTGGAAAGAAGAAAGGCAGCTTTTCTTGATTTCTGAAGTATGGTGGCTTTAGTGAGAGGTTCGTAAGCTTCTGCTGGGAGAGCGGATAGTACCACTATCAAGTTCCATTTTGGGAAGATTTGAGGTGATAATACATCTTCCAAAAGAAATGATCGCATGAGTCTGTTAAGAATAGGATGATTCCCAATATCTAGTCCATCATGTTGTAACACAGAATATAACGTTGATCCATAACCCTCCATAGTGCCAACTTGTCATCTTGACGTAGATGTAAAAGAAAGTCTGCTACCAAGGGTATTATTACTGCTTCCTCTACCAGATGAACTTGTCCCATTGATTGTTATCAAGGTGGGAGAAGGAAAGTCTCCAAAACCTTGCAACAGCTAAAGATGCAGACTCAGAGAAGCTGGATGCCTGCATTTTTTTAGTGATTACTTCCAGGCGGTTGATGCAGACTGGATACATTGTTGTAGTATAATCAGGGTATTTTGGAAAAAGGGTTTTTAATATTAACTTAAAAAGTAGTTAAATTCTATCAGGCATAAGGTTAAAATACAGATGGATATGAGAGAGAAGTTACTGTACAGGGTGAGGGAACCACCAACAGGTCAAAAGGTTATTGATTTTGCTTCTCTGGGAAATAGAAATGGCTGTAGCGGAAATTACCAAGATGGCTGGAATTAGAAATGACTGTTTGGGGGATTAGTTATCGAATTCCAATCTCACAGGGTAATGGATTTTCATCTTAGGGTTGTTTGAATTATGAGTATGGTCGTTTGACCGATGACTTTAGGAAATTAACTGAGTCGGTTTAGTCAGAAGAGTTTGATAGTACAAGTGATTGGAATGGAAATTGGGCTTCATATGGAGATGAGCGTTAGTACTCAATTCACATGATGTCAAACATTATTTCGGTGGGAGGAGCTAAAACTATCATCGATAGTATTTTGTAAGTTGTCCGGGAGTGGTGCGGGGATTTCCGAAACTCACGGATGAACAGAGAGGTTCTCTCTGTAGATTGGAATTGGGCAAAGTTATTCAGGCAAACAAACACCTCCTGATGAAGTGACCATCCGTCGTTAATATTCTCCCGAAGTGAGAAACGCTGTCCGCTAGGATGTCTCACTTACCAAAAATGTCTCACTTCCACCTGGCAGCTGATGGAATAGAGTATGAAGTTTCCATACTGGTTCCATCTGGAATTTTGCCGGACGTAACAAATATTCCTTTTTGATAACTCTTCAGTTGTATGAATATATCTCATTTTAGACATAACAGCCAATCAGCAATCTTGTATCACTGCATAATGAAACACTTGAAAACTCGGTGTAGAATGGTTCCCGGGTAGTATAGAAAGCTCCGATATTATCACTTAAAGGGGCACTGATCTAACGCAATTCCCCGGGACTGGTTGTTGCCTTTGTTATTGTTTTTTCCCCAGTGAGTACCCGGATGTATAGCAGAAATCTAGACTATTTCGCGACCTCTGCTGCGCCATTCGTAAGCGCATTAGTCACTTTTATGGGTAGTAATAAGGGTGTATGGTCACATTGATCAACAAAATGAAATACAGTTTTCGAGATAATAAGGAAATGTAGGTATCTTTGTGGGTAGCATCGGTAATGGTGACGAAGTTTTGATAAATCACTTGCTCGGTAATTTTGCGATTTTCGTTTACACTATTTCGACCTGCAACACAAAGTAAATATTTCACCTGAGCATTGCTTTTTATATAGTGTGTATACACTCTAAATCTATGTGTTCTGATATAGAACACTGGACGCATCCATTCGTTCTGCCACAGAATACGAATGTTCTTATTCAGGGAGCACCTGTTCTATTGCTGAACGCCCGTGATCTTTTGTAGAACGCGTGTGTTCTCTCCTGGGAGGAGTCCATGCACATTAGCAGAGATTATGTACTGAATATTGTTTGACTAATTTAAATTCGACCATCATATTTTTGTTTTCGGAATATTTATTTTTGAGAAGAAGAGAGGCTGGCAGATTGGTAAGTCAAACAGAAAATGTGTCATATTTTGAGTTTGATGAATGATAAATAGTTTATAAACATGGCATACTTTGTGTTAATAATAACTCATATGGAGCCTGACTAAATACAACAAGAAACATTACTGAAATACAGCTCATTGGTAATACTTGGAAATAACTTACTTGCATTATGGGACATTTACGTGTATCGGAACACTAGCATTCTGATGGCTAATCTTAGCTGGATATTTTATGGGGGCTATGGAACATATACGGTCTATTTGCTGAACACATGCGTTCTCTCCTAGAAGGCATGTGTTCTGCTATGTTCTATAGTGATAAGCAGCACACTAATGTTACCGGCGAGAACACGTGTTCTATTAATAGAACATCAAGGTTCTATTATTCTAACTAGCATTCAAAGCTGCCCATGTCCTGTGAACCACATCCGTTATGTGAGAACCTGACGTGACGTAGCATTTATTTGGCGCTACAATTTCCTGTCATCTAAGGGGTATCTGTGGTAAGTATCCATCTAGGAATAATTTTGTTTCATATTTAATCCTTACCTAAAATTGTGTAATATTTCGGCGATATATTCATATGCTGATCGCATGCGAAGTAAAACCGTCCCCTTACAAAGTGCATAGCAGACGACATGTTCCCCGCCATTTTGACCGTCATTTCTGCCATTATTCCACACGCATTATTCGCAAATTGTGAGATAAAATCCCAATCCAAACTGCACGTGTGACCTTTTGAAAGTTTCCGTTTATTTGAATGATGTTCAAATAAAATGAATATATATTTCAGTTTCTATATCAGTCGCCTTAAAGTGCGAAGTGGGCTACATGCAACAAATCTCTGAACATCTAAATTTGGGACCTGAGGGCATGTTCAGCATGCATCGACAATGCATCAAAATCAGCAGAGAGTAGGGTAAGTATGTAATGAACAAAAAAACCTAAACCTTTACAGGACATGTTTTTGGCTATTTTATGTGAAATATTTTAAAAGAGTCTTGTTTCTATTTCAGGGTGCATTGCAGATCATCAGAACCATCCATGGAAATTATTACACACAGTACACGTCTACGCAAAGGGGAAAAGAAACAAGGTTTAGCAGATCAAATAAGAAGGTACTTGTGTATATTTTGCTCTAGTCTTTATCAAGGTAAGTGATAACTTTGTTAGTCAAATGACATTATTGGCAAAACATTTTCCAACCTATAAATAATGAAACAAATGTCACGGTAATCTTGCGTTTACTAACAAACATTTGTCAGAATAAAGTCTTATTTAATATGTACAAGTTTGATGTATATATGACTATGACAAAATAAATGTTTGGTGTTGTA